GTGATCGTGAGTTGTTGGCCATCAAGTTAGCCTTGGAGGAATGGAGGCACTGGTTGGAGGGATCAGAACTCCCCTTCATTATTTGGACGGATCACAAAAACCTGGCCTACCTTCAAGGGGCGAAGAGGCTCAATGCCCGACAGGCCAGGTGGTCCTTGTTCTTTTCCCGTTTTCAGTTCTCCATAACCTATATCCCAGGATCTCGGAACGTCAAGCCGGACGCCCTCTCTCGACAATTCTCGTCAACCGAGGATTCCGGAACTCCCGAAGACATCCTCCCGTCCTACTGCAAGGTGGGAGCTGTAACTTGGCCCATCGAGAAGGACATCCTGGAGGCCCAAACGACCGAACCTGATCCTGGTTCGGGTCCCCCTGGATGGCTGTTCGTTCCCTCTTCCATGGTGGGCAAGGTTCTGGAGTGGCTCCACACTGCTCGTTTCTCTTGTCACCCCGGTATAGGACGCATGCTCCACCTGACAAAAGCTTCCTTCTGGTGGCCAAACATGCAGAAGGACGTTAAGGAGTTCGTCTCTTCCTGCCCTACCTGCGCCCAAAACAAGAACAACAATCAACCCCCTGCTGGCCTTCTTCTTCCTCTCTCCATCCCCACTCGTCCTTGGTCCCACGTCGCCTTGGATTTCGTCACTGGCCTCCCCGTCTCCAATGGTAACACTGTCGTCTGCACCATAGTTGATCGTTTTTCCAAATCTGCTCATTTCATTCCTCTCCCCAAACTCCCCTCTGCTCTCGAGACCTCACAGATTGTCACGGAGCATGTCTTCTGCCTCCATGGCATTCCATTGGACATTGTGTCTGATCGGGGCCCTCAGTTCATCTCCCAAGTCTGGAAGGGGTTCTGTGAAGCTTTGGGGGCTACGGTCAGTCTCACCTCGGGATACCACCCCCAATCCAATGGCCAGACGGAGAGATGTAACCAGGATCTGGAGGCTGTCTTGAGGTGCGTGATCGGTTCCAACCCATCATCCTGGAGCCAGCATCTCCCATGGATCGAATACGCCCACAACTCGCAGACCTCGGCGGCCACTGGACGATCTCCATTTGAGGTGGCTTTGGGATTTTCCCCTCCTCTCTTCCCTTCTCAGGAGGCCGACGTGGGCGTTCCCTCGATTCACCTTCACCTCAAGCGCTGTCGTCGGGTCTGGCGACAGACTAGGGCGGCTCTGGCCAGGTCTTCTGAGCAGAACAAGCGTTTCGCGGACAGACACCGCTCCGAGGCCCCCAGATATGAGGTCGGTCAGAAGGTTTGGCTTTCGACTCGGGACATCTCATTGAAGGACTTCCCCAAGAAACTCTCTCCCAGGTTTATAGGTCCTTTCCCTATTGTGAGAGTGCTGAACAGGTCGGCGGTGCGGCTTCAACTCCCTCCATCCATGAGGATACACCCGACCTTCCACGTGTCCCAAGTCAAACCCATTGTTTCCAGTCCTCTTCAGCCTCCCTCTAGAGCCCCTCCTCCCCCCCGGATGATTGATAACGCGCCTGCGTTCACCGTCAGACGTCTCCTGGATGTGAGACGCAGGGGTCGGGGCGTCCAATATCTGGTAGATTGGGAGGGGTATGGTCCTGAAGATCGCTCCTGGGTCCCTAGGTCTCGCATCCTGGACGCAGGCCTTATCACCTCCTTTTTCAAGGCTCACCCTGAAAAGCGGCTTAGATCGCCGAGAGGCGATCCTTGAGGGGGGGCACTGTGGGATTCCTGGTTTCCCTCTGTCTGTTTGTGTCTGTTTGTCACTTTCCCTCCACAGCTAATCACCCAACTCGTCACACCTGCCACCAATCTGAGGAGTACTGCTACTCACCTACTTAAGCAGCTGCCAGCCTCCTCTCCAGTGCTGGGACATCTTCTGACAATCGGACCTTCCACGGCCTGGTTCATTCTGGTCCTCCCTAGGACTTCTCCCTCCACTGGAACTCCTTCCTGTGGACCTTTGATGTCTCGTCTCCAGCAACAACATCCACCACTCTGTCTGGGTCAACCTGCTACTCTCCTCTGGATTCCTCCTCACACCCAGGATCCCACTCTTTGCTCCTCCTCAACCATCTCCTGCAACAATAACAAGTAAGGATCAATTCTTGATTAATCAATCATCATCAACCAAGAGGATATATATTCACCGTCTCTCCCCTTCCCTTACAGCTGTTCGAGTTTTTATCTTCACCTGTAAATAAATAACACTTACCTTTTACCTGCCTCGTGTCCTTGCTTCCTTGGTCTGCTACTTTGGGGGTCGACGTTGTATAAACCTGATAAAGCCTGTGCAAACTAAAAAAGGTTACCTTGTACTTTTTCATATGGTGCAGGTTTCAAATGCAATTCTAAAATACAGGTACTCACTCAGTGTAAACAAAACACTTGGTATGGTATGGTATGGTATAAAGTTTATTCATTTAAAAAAAGTACAAAACAATTCCATAACAATATAAAAAAAAGATACAAGAGATTTAAAATGAAAGGCAGCAGAAAGAAGAAAAAATCTTATTATGTCTGCCCCTTTTTTCAAACAATTAGTTCAATCATAATAATTTTCAAGTAACAGAACAAAATGAATAACTTTACAATTTTTCTAATTCTAATACAAAAAACACACTAAGCTACTTCATATATATTTTTTTTTAACAATCCAGCTTTGATCTTTTTCTTAAATGTACACATTGACTTGGCATTTTTCACATCACTCTCTAGACCATTCCACAATCCAACTCCTTGGATTGAGGTAGACCTTCCCTTCAGACTAGTTCTGAATTTTGGTTTGACAAATATTTCTATCCCCTTAAGATTGTAACAACTTTGTCTTTTAACAAAAATTCTTTGGATATTTAATGGTAATGTGTTATTTTGAGCCCTATACATAACTGATAAAATACTATAATCTACCAAATCATGGAATTTCAATAACTTGAGTTGATAAAATAATGTGCTTTATGGGTGACTGTAATGCTTTCTGGTGATGATTCTTATAGCTCTTTTCTGTAAAATAAAAATAGGTTTTGTAAATGTTTTACACGCTTTCCCCCAAACATCAATGCAATAGATTAAATGTGGAACAATGATTGTGTTATACAGCATGTACAAAGCTTTATCATTTAATAATTCCCTGACTTTGTATAGTACTGCAATAGATTTAGCTATTTTTGTTCTTACAGAATTTATGTGATTTTTCCATGTTAGCTGTTCATCAATGATTACACCCAAAAATTTCATCTCATTAACTCTACAAATCTCAACACCCTCAATTTTAAATGGATAATCAACAGTTTTCTTTTTGTTACTAAATATCATGTATTTAGTTTTATCTAAATTTAATGATAATTTATTAATTTTAAACCAAGTTTGTATTTTATTAAATTCTGTCTTCATCAATTCCAACATCCGTTTTACATCTTTACCCAAACAAAAAAATGTGGTGTCATCTGCAAAAAGGACACATTTGAGGAGTCCTGATACATTCACTAAGTCATTCACATATAAAATAAATAACTTTGGTCCAAGTACAGAGCCTTGAGGAACTCCACAAGTGATATTGCACAGGTCAGATTTTACACCATTTATTTGTACAAACTGTTTCCTATCTTTCAAATAGCTAGATACCCAGTGTAATGCTGGTCCTCTTATACCATATTTATTTAATTTTTCAAGGAGAATAGTGTGTTCAATAGTATCAAATGCTTTTTTTAAATCAACAAAAATACTAACACAATATTGTTTTTGATCGACAGCAGTAGTTTTTTGTTCTATTAATTCCATGAGAGCCATTGATGTAGAGTTTTTTGCTCTAAACCCATACTGACTGCTACTTAGAATGTTTTGTTTAGTAATAAATGTATCTAATCTGGTCACAAATAGTTTTTCTAGAATTTTTGAGAACTGTGATAATAAGGATATTGGTCTATAATTATTGAACACACATTTATCACCATTTTTAAAGAGAGGAACTACCTTAGCTACTTTCATATTGTCTGGAAATATTCCTTTTGAAAAAGATAAATTACAAATATATGTAAACGGCTCGATAACATGACTCATTATGTCCTTTACAAACATCATATCCATGTCCACCCAGTCTTTTGATCTCATCTGTAAGATTTTTTATTACATTCATTATTTCTTCTTTGTCAGTTCCATTAAGAAAAATACTGTTGTCACAACCTATAACTGAATGGTTCACATTATTGTCTACTTTTGGTATTTTAGCTGCAAGGCTTGATCCAACGGTCACAAAATGATGATTAAATCCATTTACAATTTCATTTTCATCATGGATTTCATCATCATCCTTCAAAAAATATTGTGAAATACCTGTTTTTGCTTTTCAGAACACTATTTATTACTCGCCATGTTGCTTTCATATCACAATTACTTTTATTTAATAAATCACTATAATATTATAATATCACTTATTCTGCTTACTCAACAAGTCTATCTAATACATGTAAAAACAAACATTTCTAACTTCTCAAGCCCGAACAGCTGTCCTATGGAGGATGCCATTGTTGACCATTTTTTTAGTCACCAGCTAATTTTGAAGGTAGACAATTTTTTTACTAACACATTAATTTCAGGACTTCTTAGCCATGAAAAAGAAATGTGAACATTTCTTATTTAAGTCGGGGGTTTTTTGGACCGTCTTCATGACTCAAACAGTACTGCTGAATGAAATGAGTCTTTACTCAGAATTGTTTTGCTTGTTTGTTTTTGTCTTTGCTTTTAGAAGATTGACGTCAGCATGCAGCTCATTTCCTTTTCTACAAGTATATTTGATTCTTATTTCTCAGCTGCAGGAAGAAGAACAGGACTGGGCATGCATTAGAAAGACAAAGCTTCAAATAAACGTTTCCAGGAATCCAAAAGTCGTGCCTTTACCTGGAAATATCTTTTTTGTTTTCAGCAAACTGAATCTTTAATAGAGCCACCAATTTTAGTCCCTCCCCTCACACAGATTCACTTCCCACGACCACAAAAAACCTCTGGTTTCCAGTTCAAACACCTTCACGCAGACACAGATACTATGTTTCAAGAAACGACTTCACCATCCAACTTCCCTTTCTCGCTGAAAAGTAAAGGGCCTTGGGATTATCAGCGAACATGTCGTATGGACACTGAACACCGGCAAAGTGTCCTCCATGTTGTCGGCACCTCTTTGAAAGCGAACCTGAACAGGTAAGCTGACACGACGGAAATAAAATTCGACCACTGCGTACAAATAAATAGTGAAAAATGTTATTGGTTTCACATTTAATATGTCATTGTTCTCAGTGGCCATTTGTAATGTGCAGTTTTTCCAGTTCTGCGGAACAAACTGGACTGTGAGACTAAAGGCGCAGCGCCAGTCACCGGTTTAATATTAAAACTTGTGCCAATATATAAAAATCGTTACGGACTTCAGGTCACTTCAGAGAGGGACAAGGAAGTAGTGTTTATTTAGGAAACAGATAAGATCTGTAGATAAGAGATAATGTGCGTGGGGAAAGGGGCGGGGCTAACTGCGGGTTGACCTATCACCGCTCAGTCTTCACAGCTTCCTGCTGCCTTCACGGTTGCTCGTTTTCCTCAGTACAGATAAGTTCAAGTTTGTTGCCAGGTGATATTGGAGTAGCATCAAGACTTTGTGTTAGTGTCAGAGCGTCACACTTCAACCATGGCTCATCAGAGGACTCTGAGAATAGATTATGATCAACCTATACACGTAATTTGCGTGGTCGGCTTTGAACTGACCGTGAACCTGAACAGGTAGGTTATTATCCTATTGTTTACAACGCGCATTGTGTTCTGGGAAATTTATTTTCTCCTTTGTCCTCTGAAAATGCTTTATTTTATTATTTTATGATGAGCTTTTTTACATAAATATTCTATATCTTAAATGTGTTCATTGTAAAATCACGAAGAGCCTAAATTAATCTAAAAGTAACACAATTAATCAGCACAGTGTTTTTCTTAGTGTTCCTAAATTAAAATAAGCAAAATTTGTGACAACTACCACATGTATATTAGGGCCAACCTCAAACTGCTTATTTCCAGGTATTTATTCTTGACAGTATTTCTTTCTGAGTTACAGAAAATTCCCTCTTACGTCATGGACACACATTTCCAAGTTACATCAATTTATCTGATCTGAATAGTTGAATTAACAAACTCATAATAGAGCTTGTTTTTTCTCTGTTTTTAATGTAGCATTGTTGTTTTAATCATCGGTAATGTTTTGACAAAGTTACACAAGAAAAGGAAGTCTAGCACATTAACAAATTTGTATGATGACATTTATTTATATCATTGTGGTGGAGCCTAGTTTTTGCACAGTACAGAAACACTATATAGCCTCATTGTTGCTGTCAACAAGGAAGACATTGTTTTTCCTCAGAAGTAGGCCTGCATTCAACCAAATGCCAGTCTGTTCTGCACAACAGAGCCAGACTCTAGCCTGGCTCTGGACCACAGCTTGGTCCTCCAGAACTCTTTGTGGTTATGTGACACCTGTCTACATGCTGTTGTTCTTACCCTTAATAAGGATATTGCAGAGGTTGAGTCGGCTTTATTAAGACGTTATAGAAAAACATCCTTCTTGTGGTTTTTAGACATCATTTTGTCACCACCATAATATGCTGACTTTTATTTGATCTTATTATTTAAACTCTGCTGTAATGAATGCATAATAAAATAAGGAGAAATGTCCTTTTCTGTGTCACTGTGCAATTCAACTAAAGCTAAAATGAAGGGTCCTTAAAAGAAGAAAATGGGTTTATTAATTGCTGTAATCATTTTCCTTGGTTGAAAAGAACATAAGCTTGGGAAAAAAATGAACCTTACTATATTAACACCCCATAAATTTAACTGATGGAAACCATAGAAACTCCAGTAAAAAAAATCTTAAACTTATGTCCAAAAAGCTTCATAATGAGCAGGAACATCATGACCTGTATTTGACTTTCTTAGTTTGCCATATTTTTGCAGATTAAAAAATCTAACTCATGAAACAAATTATTGTCACAACTAATGTCCCCTTTAATGTATTACAAAATATGGGCAGGTTTCCCAAAATACTTAAAAAAACATACTGTATATCTAACAAGGTTGAGTCAGGCCCTCTGGACGGATTCTTCTTTGTTGAAATGTTTCATATTTTATCTAAGTATATGTTTCACAATAAGTATGAGTCAGAAAAAGGGTTCATAATTAACAAAGCCTGCTTTTTATTTGCTTTATAGGACTGCACCACCAAACTCCAGGTTCTTCTCTGTGAAGTGCACTCCCAGTGTTCAGTACATCATCAACCCCCCACCCCAGGAGGAATCCCACCTCTCCCCTGTCCCCCTTAATGGAAACTCTGCACTGAGCTTCAGCATGAAGCATGCCAGCGAGTCTGAGAATGATAACAAGGTAAGTATGGGGTTGAATTTTGACACCACACTTTATTTTAGTGCATTCTGTGTCATGAAACAACAGCTGCACCAAATTCATTATTTAGCAATTCTTTGGTGATTCAGCTTAATGATTTTTTTTCCAAATTCGTTATTTTGAACATTTAGGAAGAAATATCATTCTTAGGGCCAACCTCAAACTGCTTATTCCAAGGTATTTATTCTTGACTGTATTTCTTTCTGAGTTACAGAAAATTCCCTCTTACTCTGTGGCTTTAGATAATTAAGGTTTAATGATGTTATAACTGTTGAAATATCCAGAGCAGTTTTATTACATTAAACACAGCTAAATAATGTCCACTATTTAAAATAAAGGCTCACAATTTTTATTATAAGGTTTTAAAGCTTGTTCACATCAACTACACACATGCGATGCAAATGACTAAAGAAACCTTGACCTTTTTACAAAGGAAATGTTAGCCATTTAGCAACATGTGTCTTTTTTAATTTGCAAGCTGTCTGTTTGCTACTACGGAAAGGACAAAGAGCTCTTGGGGAGAGCAGTCATGTACCTTACAGCTATTGGTAAGTTCATTTACATTAAACATATTTATTAATTATAATAAACTGTAGTTTTTATTGAGTGGCTCATTTGGTAGAGCTGTTGCTTCTCAGCCAGAAGGTTGCCATTCAAATCCTGGCTGGGGATCTTTCTGGGTGAAGTTTTTATGTTCTCTCCGTGCATGTGTGAGTTTTTTTCCAGGTACTCCAGTTTCCTCTCACAGACCAGAAACATGCAGGTTAGGCTGATTGGTAACTCTAAATTGTCCCTTGGTGTGAGTGAGAGAGTGAATGGTTGTTTGTCTCATTTGTCTCTATGTGTCCCTGTGATGGACTGGAGACCTGTCCAGGGTGTCCCCCGTCTTTCACACAGTGACTGCTGGATATAGCAACCAGTGACCCCCGTGACCCGAAAAGGAAGAAGCGGGTAAAGGTAATGGATGGATGGAATTTGTATTGTTGGCATGTAGTCAATAAAATATAACCTGTGATTTTAAACCTAGCACTAACTCTAAACGTGACTTTGTCCAAAAACTAATTATTTCAGTTTCTATTGAAACAAAAGCTGTACTGTGTTTGGTCAGTTTACGAACAATCCACATATGTTAAGAAAAGCATGTTTGTCACACAGAGATCTCTCTGGATGTGGATGCTGACAGAGATGGCATCGTGGAGAAAAACAACCCTAATAAGGTATTTTTCAAAGGCCTTCTGGTATAAAAGTAACTTCTTTCTTTTTAATAATGGTTAGCCCTCTATCTTTGAAATAAACTGTGCTGTACATTCATCTGTTAAAGTGGGAGCTTACACTGCTCTTCAGCTTGTCATGTTCACTTCTTTGTACAAGTCTGTACATGCAGCATATGAGATGAAGTTTGTTGCTTTAGGATACGTTTTTCAACTATTTTCTCTTTTTTTTGTAAGCAATATCCAAATGTGATGTTTAAACATGTTTTTGCTCTACATTCCTCACGTTAAATAGATTATAAAGTCTAATTAGTTTCACTGAACATGACACGTACACATATTTTAAGAACAAGGGTTGTTCTTGTTCTCCTAATTATAGTAATAAAAGTACAATTTGAGCTTTTTTTGTATAGTTACAGATAGTTATATAATTATATTTTTAATAAAAAAGGATGTCTGGTTCATCAAAACATTTAGAAATCCTGGAAGTGGGGTCCTAATGGTCATGGAGCGATTCTTTTGGTTAACTGTGACTCCGAGTCAACCTACAACAAGATGCCAGACACCACGAAGAATCGCATCTCCAAAGTATCAGGTAAACCAGAACCATTGCATCTAAGATCCAGTTACACCCTTTACCTTTATCGAATCTCACTTTTCCATGAACAGTTTGGAGGAAGGCAACTGTGTGTCATGCAAAAAAAGGAATGCAAATAGCTGAACACTCAATTTGTTGTAAAAGGTATAACATTTCATGAGAAAAGTGTAGTCTTAAACCTTTTTCTCAGCTTCATAGCATTTTCTTGCACATCTGACATCAACCCTAACTAAACTTTGGAAAACAAGCCAACAAAACATTAACACCTCATTGCCACACTGTTTGGGGCCTGCTTAGGTTTTAAATATTTCATTGACCTTGTTGTCTGAAAGCTCAAAGTTCTGCATTATTAGGGTTTATGAAGTTGACTTGTGACATTTTGGTGTGTATGATGTGTTTAACTGCATGGTTTGCCTTTAAGTTACTCAAAACACACTCAGACATTATTAACTTTGAGTGTTCAAAGCTTAAGAAAAGCTCACATACTCCATGCAATGTTGAACACATTTCAAACCGTGTGTGTTGTACGTAAGTGTGAATTGTGTTTGTATCAGTGGGACGTTTTGTGGCTGTGCAGATCTGAAGGACATGTCTCTCATGGTGCTGCGGACCAAGGGGCCTGCCAAACTCCCAGAGGGCTACAAACTGACCATGCACATTTCTCAGGGAGATGCAGAGAATGTCCGAGTCTTCAGACCCAAATCCCCTGAAGTGGCGACTAATTTCCTGGGTGAGTAAATCTGAAGGCTGAGAAAGTCTTAAAACAGAATGATCTAGCAATTCACATGATGCACACAGTTTATTTAAAACTCATTACAGTAGTTTTTTTTTTTTAATTAAGTACTTTGTATTTTCATTCTTTATTTTGCAGATAAAGTTTTTAGTAATTTTGTGCAGGACTATCCACTGGTACTGAGCCAAGAGAACTTGTCAAAGGAAGTGCCATACCTGGGAGGTTTAGCAGATATGAACTTTTATGTGGAGGGTCTCAGATTCCCTGACATGAACTTTGATGGACTTGTTACCATCAATCTCAGTCTACTAGAGCCCATCAGCGAAGTAAGGATGGCAACACAACATTATTATTATTATTATCCATTGTATTTAATAATTTATTCTCCTACTTTTATGAAATACTCTACAGCTATTTTACAGCACCTATCATAGACATTGAAGCACATTTCACAGCCTTTTATTAGATTCTAAGAAAAAAACTTTATTTTAAAAATAATATAAGCAAACTTGGTTTAACATTGCAACCTGAAATAATGAGTAAAACTTCAAGACACTTTCACAGGTCCAGTTCTTTGTGAATTTAAACTTTTTTTTTTTAGTACTCAGCACATTTTCTCATGTTTAAAGGGTCTTCCTGAAACGCCCATTTTCACAGACAAAGTGGTGTTCAGAGTGGCTCCGTGGATCATGACACCCAACACTCTCGATCCTGTGGAAGTGTTTGTCTGCAGGTAAGAGCAGAATGATGAATAATAAAGAGGAATGTGTCAGCAGGACTTTCATATTATCTCAAGCTGCCAGGAATACTGCTTATGATGCTCTGCAACAAATTTTAGGGATATTTCTTTTAATAAGTGCTATGTGTTGTCTTCATTGTATGTTCCCATACAATGGAGAAATTAGTTCTCTGCACCCATTGCACCTGGGATACACCCAGGTGGAGCAGTGGGCAGCTATGTAAGCGCCAAGAGAGCAATTAGGGATTGGGTGTCTTTGCTCAGCGACACAGTGACATGTGGGAATGGCTGGGGATCGAGCCTGGGACTTTCAGGTCCCAGGTCGGCTGCCCTGCCTATACCCCTTTCTCGGCCCCATCTTTCCTTTCTTAGCTCATCTTTTTTCCATCCATTCATCTCCAAATAAAAATAAAATATATGACCAACTTTAAAATGACAACAGATTACATAAAGTTTACATTTTAAAACTTGTTGCTGAACCAAAGACTACATGTCTGCCTGTGGTTTCAGTATGCGTGATAACGTCCAGTTCCTGAAAGGAATGAAAAGCCTCATTTCAAAGAACAACTTAAAGCTGAAGGTTTGCTACGAGTACCAGAACAGAGGAGACCGCTGGATGCAGGTCAGAAAAATAAAGAGAATGAAGATCTTAATTTGACATTTGTAATTATTGGATCATGTCTACAGCTCTGAGACATCTAACAAGTTGTGTTTACATGTTGAACTTTTATATTATGCCTGATGACGAGAAGCTTATATGAAATAAGAGCAGCAAAATAATCAAACAAAAAATAAGATGCAGTTGTGTTAAACAGTAGCAATGCAAACAAATAAATAAAATAAAATGTGTCTACTAATAAACAACATGCAATGATTGCTGAAATATAACTTCTGTTATGTCTTTTTCAGGATGAACTGGAATTTGGTTACATCGATTCGCCCCATCACCAGTTCCCTGTTGTTCTAGATTCGCCAAGAGATGGAAAGCTTAAGGACTTTCCATATGAGAATCTACTGGTAACAGATTCAATTTGTTTCTGGAGATCAAACATTTATACATAGGAAACACCTGAGCTTAGTTTCTTTATTTGAATATGTTCTTAAACACCAGGTTAACTCGATAAAACTCATGCATACAATTTTTTTCCAAATAATGTGTTTCAGTTTAAACATTCATCTAATGAAATGGATTCAGTTAGAGAGAACTGTGGGGCAGGCGACATGCACATATTATGGGAGAGCAATGATATACAGTAGTCCCTTGATTATCATGGGGGTTACCTTCCAAACACCCCAGCAATAGGTGAAAAACCACAAAGTAGTAATGTTATACTTATTTTATTATTTATATATTTTAAGGCTTTAGAAACCCTTCCCACAGTCTTGCAATGTTCTAAACTCTTAAAACTATGTAATTATAACAACATACTAGTACTCTACAGTACTGCAAAATTTTACTCACCAGCTCTGTAGAACAGCAGTTCTGGTCCGGCTTGGTTCCGGTTCTGCCGACCTACCCTGCAGTGACAAAGACCACCGCCCCGTCCAGGTTGATGTGCACGTGGATGATTGGGCTTCAGGATTATTTGCAACTTTCCTGCCAGTTGTGTGAACTTAATGGATAGCGCAGATTTGTGTTGCAAAACTTTCCCTCCATTTTGGCAGAAAGCAGCTGCTGGAAGCACAGTTGGCTTCTGGGTAGTGTAGTTCTTTGACTGGCCTTACAGTGTAGGCTTATGAAAAGAAAACTACAAAATGGCGGCGCCTGTCCAAAGTATTTATTTATTTTTCATTAACTTTTTATCCCATACCCTCCCAATTACGTGAGTACAGTAATATTAAAGTTGACAATCGTTGAAAAACCGCAAAAGAGCGAGTCCGTGAAAGTCGAACCGTGAAGTAGCGGGGGACTACTGTAGAACAAAAGCAGCAACAAAAGCATTAACTCTTACCTGTTTAATATATATATATATGTATAGCGATATCAGGTAGATGCAATTTAAATAAGGTTTAATGATTACTTAAGATACTTCAACTATGGTCAAAAAATTATAAATATCCAGATTCATGTTTGCAACATGTGAAATGCCTTGCTTGTCCAGAGCCAGTCTTTAAACAGGCCTGTGTCCTCAGGGTCCTGACTTTGGCTATGTGACCAGGCTGGCTTACAATGAAAATGTGAGTAGTCTGGACTCATTTGGAAACCTGGAGGTCAGCCCCCCTGTCACAGTGAATGGAAAAGAATACCCCCTGGGCAGAATCATTATTGGGGTTGCTTTCCCAACGTAAGTAACAGATTAGTTTGCATAACATTTTAATGCATGTATGAGCAGCTTTTCATCTAGTCATTACAGTACTGTTCAAAAATCTCAAGTAAACTCTATTTTTTTTTCTTCATATTTTGCTTTCAAGGAAACAGAACAAGCTCTTCAGGGTTTCCAAGGGTTTCTATGGGTTTAATTTTCAGCCCAGTCTTTGTCTGTGCAGCTAAATCACAGAGACCTGTGACTTAAAAACTGTCTGACCTAAGCCATGGACTGTCATCACAGACCAAAACTTGACAGAAAACATATTTAGAATTAATTTTCTCTGTCTGTCAAAATGTCCAAGAAATCCAAAGATAAACCAGTGTATAGGCACAGAAACAAAAACTGAATAAACAACAAACTTGATGTTAAAATAGAAATCAGGATTATTCACGTCTCCAGTTGTGGCAGATCTTTGCTTTTCAGATCTTTACCACTCTTGAATCAGAATACCATGACTGTGCTATAAATGTATTTATTTATTTATTTATTTTTAGGCCTGACCGCTTCTTTTTAAGTCCAGTGTAAAATAACTGTTTTCTGCCTGTTCATTTTTGTTATTTTTAGCAATTTTTGGACATTCAACTAAAACTCTGGTTAATCCCTAGAATTGGTGATAAACCAGCATTGTGACACTTTCTTCATATTGCTGCAAAGACTTGAGCAGGAATCAGTTTAAAAACAGTCAAAGATCAAATTTAAAGGACCTCCAACAAGCCTGGACAATTATTGCTTTAAACCACTTAAAAAAAACGACGAAAATCTATCTCGTAAAAAGCAAAATAAAAAGGAAGTATGACGAAAGATCTAAACAAAACTGAACATCATAATCATGCTTACTCACTTCTCTTTTTCTCTGTAAGGGCTATTAAAGGACGAAACATGACCAAAGTTGTTCAAGACTTCTTGAGGGCTCAGAAGGTCCAGGAGCCCATTGCCTTATTTTCTGACTGGCTCTATGTCGGCCATGTTGATGAATTCATGACTTTTGTTCCTTCACCTGACAGAAAGGTAAATTAAACCATAAGACAAACAACACAATGTATAAATGTAAGGTGTTGTGCCTTCATAGTCTGCCCAAAATTCTTTGGCACATCTATTCAGGAAGTTTGTGAAATTCCACTGGAAGAATGTAAAATTATCTTTTTTTGTTTAGTTTTTTTTTATATATACAAATATAATATAATGATGGCAGTAAACCAAAAACTGTGTAACATTTCAGTCCAAAAGGTTTAACGGTTAGTGTTTTTAATCTCTTCTCCTATCTGTAGGGGTTTCGGCTGCTGCTGGCCAGCCCTGACGCCGGCTATAAACTGTTCAGAGGCTTATACAATGATGGGCATGGACAAGCCAAACTGTTTGAGGGTAAAGTAAAAGTCTAGACAGTAAAATCTTTGGGAAATGTGTGTATTGTAGTAACTCAGTAGTGAAACTTTACAATCCCTCGAAAAGGTCTGAAAGGTCAGAAGCCAGTGACAGTGGAGGAAATACTTGGTGATAAACATCTCCAAGCTGAAAATAACTACGTACAGGTGAGCTGGAATGTAAAGTACACACTTTGCACAAGTGCATACATGTATTTGTGGCACAGGCCAAACTTGTTTCTAGAAGCTCCCATTCAGACCATAAAAGCATAAAACTGATTCTCTACTTGGGTATTAACATGAACTTTGATTTATGTGATTAAAGAATACTGATGATCTCAGCTCTACTTTGAAAGCTTCATTAGTTTTACATGCATGAAGCAGTCGTCAGTTTAACTACATTTAATCGGGGGTTTTTTTATGGTTCAGGATTTAATTGAGTGAATCCAGTAGATGAAATTGCTTAAAAGTGTCAAATACTGATTTTAATAAATGTTTTTGGGACTGACATTAACAAAATAATGATCTGGCTTTGCAAATGAACTTGGTCAAACATTAAAAATAGATCCACGTGAAATTTAAAACCTTTTCTTTTCCCCGCTGCGTCGTTGGCACAACAAATATAATGTAAAATCAAACAGATATTTTGAGATTAGCTTGTTTTTGACTATAAATCATGATACAATGACAAAGATTATCAAGCAAATCTTTGAAATCTATTTAAATACTCTAATTTTGGAAAGCAAATCTCTTAAATCTGTACTGAACAGGGTAAGACATGAAGATGAACAATTTTAGCAGCTAAATTACCAACAAGGCTATAAAGTCAATGCTAACAGTTCTTTTCAATGCCACAGCTCTTTAATCAACAGTTGTAAATAGAGCTTGGTGAACTTTTTGGTTAAAGGTCCTGATTAACACATCTTGTTTCTCAGTTTGTTGTCACAATGTCTACACATCCTATGAGTCATGGCAGATATTAAAATATTAACGGCTCAAGATTTTTGTCAAAATAGTTGTAGTGAACTCGGCCTCCGGTCAAAACCTGCCTCTGAAGACCTTCATGGGACAGGAACTTTTATTTCATTGATTTGAATCCAGAAATACAAATTAGCTCATCCAGAGACTTTCTAATTGTATCCTGAACTAATCAATTGAAAGAACACTCTCTTTTTCATATTATCATTACTATTTTACAATATCTTGATAATCAAAAGTGTGTTTAGTTCATACCATTTTAAATGTTGAAATGAACCACTCATTTTAAATCAACTGTGAAACAGTATTAATGATTTTTTAATCCTCATTCAAAGTAGAAATCAAGTTAAATGTCCATGTTACAAAGTAATTATGCATTTTTGATCTTCAATCAACCTTTATTTAGACAGGTAAATCCCATTGAGCCTTGAGGACTCATTTACAAGAGAGACCTGATTTCAACAAAGAAAGATGACAACAATGGACAACAGCAACAACAATAAACAATTATAAAAAGTCATAATACAGGTTTTTTTGGGGGTTTTTTACAAATAGGATGGCTAAAAGGAAAAGGTAACAAAAAAAACAATAAAAAAACAAAACAGCTAGATTCTAAGGCGAATGTAGAAAACTAAAAACAGGAACATGTCTGCATTGGTCCCTGCCGGGAGTCCAACAGATTCTTAAAGCCACTTAGACAGGTCAAGGCCGAGAGCTTCAAATCTTTTTGTAAGATATTCCAGGAAACAGGAGCGGAGTAGGAGAAGGCCCTTTTGCCTAGTTCAGTCCTCATTGAGGGAACACTGCAGGTAGTAATGTCCTGAGAGCGCACACTGTAGCTGCACTCACGCAGAGACATGTAGGAGGAGATGTAAGAAGGTAGCAGACCAAGAAGTGATTTAAAGATGAAAATGTACCAGTGAGAGAGTCTGCGTGAAGTTAATGATGTCCAGTTAACCAGTGAATACAGGGTGCAGTGGTGGGTACGATAATCACAGCCAGTTATGAATCTTAGTGCACCATGATAGACAGCATCCAACATCTGCAGGGTTCTTGTAGCAGCGTTCATGTAAATAATGTCACCAATCAATTGAGGGAAGGAAAGTCACAGATACAAGGTGTTTTCTAGCATTCAGGGTTAGACAGGATCTGTTTCTGAAAAAGAAACCCAGTTTAACTTTCAGTTTCTTTACCAAGTTTTCCACATGGAGCTTAAAAGAGAGATGTGAGTTGACCAAGATACCCAAATATTTATAGGAATCAACAAACTCAATGGGGACACCATTTGAGGATAAAATCGGAGGAAGAACTGCTGGGACCAACTTCCTGTTTGAAAAAAGCATCCCTTTGGTTTTGTCGGCATTTAGGACAAGTTTGAGGTGGAACAAATTAGTCTGGATGTAGTTGAATGCAGAATTCAAAAGCTGGAAAGCCTTAGCAACAGTTTTAGCTCGACAATAAACAACTGTGTCATCAGCATAGAAATGTATGGATGCATTAGGGATGTTTTTACCTACATTATGTCTGTAGATTGTAAAGAGGGTGGGTCCTAAGACTGAGCCTTGTGGTACACCATTGTTGACTGTTAAATAACTGGAGGAAGTACCATTATGTTGAACACATTGCCTTCGGTCTGAAAGATAGTTAGAGAACCAACCAATGGTGTGTTCTGAGAAACCAATTTCTGAGAGTTTATGACACAAGATGTTATGATCCACAGTGTCAAAAGCTTTAGACAGGTCTAAGAAAAGTGCAGCACAATAATCCTTAGCATCCAGTGCTTCAACAACGTCATTAAGAACCTTCAGTGAAGCAGTGGTTGTGCTGTGTTGTTTCCTGAAACCAGATTGATGTGGAGGTAAGATGTTAAATGAGTCCAGGTAATTTTTGATTTGAGTTTATCAGTTTTTCTAGAACCTTGGCTAAAATGCAGAGTTTAGAGATTGGTCGATAGTTGTTCAGTGAGGTGGGGTCACCTCCCTTCAGCAAAGGAAAAACAAAGGCTGTTTTTCAAGTGTCTGGGATGGAGTTTTGTCTTATGGAGAGATTGAAGATGTGGATCACAGGGACTGTGATGATATGAGCAGTCAGCCTTAAGAAAAAAGGTGGAAGTTCATCTGGACCTGCAGATTTTTTAGGGTCAAGATCTTTTAACAGTTTATTAACCTCACTGACTGAGAATGGAGAAAAAGAGAAGCTGTGATTAATTGAGGATTGACTTGTAGGAGGGATTTGATTTGTAGAAGTTTGGTTATTAGGGGAAGTGGCTGATTTTCTGTTAGTAACTGTGTCAAATAACGAACTAGAAGCAACAAAATGTTTGTTGAAACAGTTCAGGATCTCGTGCTTATTTGACACAGGAACAGAGTTAATGAGAAGTTGTGATGGGAGGTCAGATGATTGGGGGGTGCCTGAGAGAGATTTGATGGTTTTCCAGAATCTGTTAGGGTCATTTAGATTTTTGGAGGTCTGAGATAAGAAATAGTTGTGTTTTGCTGCTTTGACAGCAGTTGTGCATTTATTCCTCATCTGTCGAAAACTCAACCAATCAGTGTCTGAGTCAGATTTTCTCGCTGCAGCCCAAAGATGGTCTCTCCTGTGCAGGAGGTCAGCTAGCTCTGGAGTAAACCAGGGGCTGTCTCGTCCCTTTATTCTGAACTGACGAAAAGGAGCATGTTTGTTCACGAAAAAAATGAAACTATTATGAAAATAGTTCCAAGCAGAGTTCACGTCATCAGTTAACAGAATATGATGCCAGTCAAAGTGAGACAGATCCCAGAGGAATGACTGTTCGCAAAAACGTTTCAGATCCCTTTTTTGAATTAATCTGGGCTTAGAAGGTGGAAGTTTAATATCTCTCAAAGCAGCTGTCACACAATGATCACTCAAAATATAAGCGAATACACCTGTACCAGGGAATTTGTGAGGCATATTAGTTAGAAATAGGTCTAAGATTGAGGATTTTTCCGGATGGTTTTTGTTTAATCTAGTGGGAGAGTCGGATCAATTGGGTAAGATTGAGAGACAGGCAACATTCCTTGAATTTATCACAGACGGGGGTCGACTTACACCAATCAATGTTGAGGTCTCCAGCCAAAAGGATCTCTTTGAATTTTAAATTACCAAGGAATTCCATCAGTGCAGAAAGAGCCCCAGGTGATGCTGAGTGGGGGTGGTAGCACCAGACTACAGTTAAGATCTGACCTCCATTCAAGGTGATGTTTACAGATAAGGCTTCAAACTGGTTTGGAATTGTTTTAGAAGACACAAGACTAGCAAACAAAAAAAATCTTTGATGTAAACAGCGACTCCCCCCCCCCCCTTTTTTTTTTGACGATCACAGCGGTAGATGTTAAATCCATTGATTGCCAGGTCATTCATTACTCATTACAGATTTGTTGAGCCAGGATTCAGAGACGAAGATAACATCTGCCCCAGAAGAACTGATCAGAATTTTCAAAGCATCAAGTTTTTTCAGAAGGCTACGAGCGTTTACATGCAGAAAATGAAGCCCAGACACGTTCTTAAAGTCATTTGGCGTGCTGTAATTAGTGGGGGGTCCAGGGTTGGGTTGAATCCCTGAGAGCAGTAACAACATTATTATCAGACATTTTCTTGAGTTTTTTGTGACTGATGTGTAATTGCAGGAGTTAACAGTGTGACAATTAGCCCACAAAATCGAACCATGAGAAACATTAATGAAGACGTGATCATTCAGAACCCAAAAACAGTGAAAGTTGCAGTGATGGACAGATTCAGGTGTATTAACAAGATTCAGTGACTCCAGATAATCTGAGAACTGAAAATAGTGACAATAATATGAATGATGCAGAAAAGTTTCAGACCATAAAACGTCACAGTTCAAATGGGCAAACAAACCCGACGAGGTGGCCCAACTGCAGTTTGAGTTGGGCTGAGGGGGGCTCCGGCCCCCCAGTGAAGATGGATGGATGCTCCCATGGGAAACAGAAGCTGGGTCCAGAATCAACAGGCCGAAACAGAAACAGATAATCCGCAGCAAATAGCAGAGCAAGCTGCCAGAAAATCCTCCTGAAGTGAAAGGCATGATCCAAGCTCGTTTCAGGTCAACAGGGGCCAACAGCGTGATCCGGAATAAAATTAATTATTATCCAGGTGAGTTTGGATGGAGGCCTGCAGCAACTCCGATACAAACTCCGAACTTCTCTCGAGCACCACGCAGCGCTGCTCCTCTGCTTCTCTGCACGACACCTCCGCACCCGACAGCACGAGAGGCACCCCCGGTGAAAAACGAGACTGACCGGAGAGGCTGAGGCTGAAGTCGACACTGGTCCGGTCCGATTCTGCTCCAGTCAGGCTCCGGTGCTCCACAGCACGAGAGACGAAGAGGCTGAAGATATCCCTGGCCCGGTTTTGCTCCGGTCCGGCGGCGCGGTTCTGCTCCAGTCTGGCTCCGGTGCTCCACAGCATGAGAGACGAAGAGGCTGAAGATATCCCTGGCCCGGTTCTGCTCCGGTCCGGCGGCGTGGTTCTGCTCCGGTCCGGCGGCGCTTCAAAGCACCGGAGCGTCTCCTCCAGGTGAACACAGCGATTCCACGGAGGTGGACAGTCTTTCGGTGAAAGTAACGGGCTGCTCACTGAAGCCGAGACCGGCTCTGTTGAAGACGAAATCCCCACAGCCACCTCGGTTCGGTTCTGGTCCAATTTGAGGGTCACAGGTACACTTCCCCCACACCTATGAAGACACCACGAGGGCCAGTCCAGCAGAAAACCAGCGAAATACCACCTGGTGATTTTTGTCGGAACCAGGTAGAACCACAAAGGTCCAGATAAGAGTTCGTTGAGGTCCAGAGAGAGAGAGAAAAAACATAGGACCTTCGTGCGAAGACTCCCCGGCTCGAGGGGTCACCTGGCCAGGGTGCGCTCAGAGTGACCGGTGGGGTGGGAGCGGCCGGTCCTGGACCAAAATATATTTTTGGACGGTCCCGTCCGGCTCTCTGAGTCACTGAACACCGAATTCGGTTGGAAGGAGGACCAACTTTAGTCTGGTTCGAAAAAATGGGTCAGTTTGATGATAAAAGACTGCAGAGAAGCCGGAGGGAGCTGCCGTCCATCAGCTCACCGGAAGTGAAGTGATCTTCTGTCTTAAATGAGAAAGGAGTGATATTGGTCAAAAGTTGGAGACAGTCGCAAACAAGTTATTGGAACGAACTGTCATGTTTTTAAACCTCTCAGTCAGAAACAAGAAAACTGGCACCTGTAAGTCTGTCATTTCTCTAAAACATTTCTCTGTCTGTTCCTAAACATCTCCGCTGTTTTTCTGACTTGTAATGACCCTCTGACGTCATTAAAACCACACCCCTGTTGGTTCTTTCAACCAATCAGGACTTCCCAAAAGTGACCAGAAGCAGAACTCTTTAAAAGTCGACTCTTCCTAGTTCCAGTAGTTCGGAGGGAGAGTTCTAGTTGGAAAAGTTCAGTGCCTGGAGAAAGTTCCAGTGCTAGGAGAAAGTTCTGAAGTACTGGAGTTCGTTGGGAGTTCTTCCGAGTCTAGTTGGGATTATGGAGCCTTCTACATCTGAGTGGATCCGCTGACGGACTCACAGCTCATGTGAGTCCACCCGGGAGGTGAGCGTGTTGTTGAACGGAGTACCGTCACTACTTCGGACGATTCTCAGCCATCCTAAGGAGACGCTGAAAGGTAGCATTGAAATGGAACTCCGTACCGGAGCTGACCTATCTTCTGCAAAGGTAACGGGTCGCTTCACTACCGAGTACCAGGGCTTAGCTGGGGTCGGATGAAGGGTGCCATTCCTTGTCAACACACTTTCCCTCATCCATCTTTTCTCTCCATTTAAACTCTTTCATTTCCCATCTTTAAACTTCTATCTTGCCAGTAATTAATCCAGATATCTTCAGAAATGTCTGTTGTTTTTATTAAGTAAAACGTGCCAAGTTTTATTAATCAGAGCCGATCATAATCAAGTGTACAATGTTTTGATGTTAAATTTTGATTCTGTTAATAAATGACCACATTCATTTTGATGGGTCAAAGAAAATTAACGTCTCATGTCACTGATTAGACCATCTCCCACATAGTACCTCTGTCACATATCTGTCAAGTAGCTCGAAAAAGTGAGAACCCGTTATTAAAAATTGACTGTAGTGGGTTAGGGTTAGGGTAGTGGGGCTCTAAGCTAACTGAAGCTAACCTAGCCCAAGCATACTACATAGTTGTAAACATGTCATCTTACAGCTGAGCCAAGCTAAAAGTCATTAAGTTTGAATTTTACTCCCTTTATTCACCATTTGAAGGGGAGTGGTGGTGCAGAGGTTAGAGAAGGTGAGTCTGTGATGGGAGGTCACCGGTTCAACTCCTCGAACCGACAACATCAAAATGCACGTGGGAATGGTGAAGCACCCACACCTGTCTCCACCCTCATTTGCCCCACTCTGTGCCCTTGAGCAAGGCCCTTAACCCCCACCACTATCTGCTCCCCTGGCTGCCCTAGATGGCAGACGGATGTATCAGGAAGGGCATTCGGTGTAATAAACAAATGCCAAGTCTTTGTGCGAGTTAGTTTGCTGTGGCGACCCCCTGAGGAAAGGATCAGTCGAAAGAAGAAGAGAAATTTGACCATTTGTTTTTTCAAGTTAAATTTACTGATAATAGCTGAAATTTGTAGCTAAAGCTGCTAAAGCTTCTAGAAGAACAGATTCACAAATATGCATAGAGAGACAAAACAAATAAATATCCATGGTTTGACTTTTATTACATCTATCATCTTATTTCCACAATGAAAACTGAAACAAGTGTTGTTTGCATAATAATGCAAGGTGTTGGCACACTGTACTAAATGTTGCATGTGCTGAGCTCCTTGGTTAAACAAGATAAACTCAGAAGATTCAGAATGTGGTGTGACTTGTATTCCACAGTGTTGTGACTTTCATCCCCACTTGTTTTTATCAGAGCTGCATTGACTGGAACAGGGATGTCCTGAAAAGAGAACTGGGCCTGGATGATGATGACATCATTGACCTGCCAATCCTTTTCAAGATGGTGGTGGCAAAGGACGAATTCAGAGCAGTGGCTTACTACCCTGACATGGTGTGTTTGACAAACTTCTCAGATTTGACTTGTTTTTTTCTTCAGATTTTGCTTTCAATTTTTTGAAAAACTGGAGGTATCACTAGTATAAGACAACTTTAAATCAAGGTGTTGATGACCGAATTTCATGGCAAACCCTGTTTCAGGTCAACATGATTGTCTTGGGGAAAAACCTTGGCATCCCGAAGCCGTTTGGCCCCCAAGTGAACGGATGCTGTGCCCTGGAGGCTGAGATGTGTTCCCTGATGGAGGGCCTGGGTCTTAAATGCATGTTCATTGATGACTTCGCCTCCTACCACCAACTCCTGGGGGAGGTGCACTGTGGCTCCAACGTACGCCGAAAACCATTTGACTTCAAGTGGTGGAACCTGAAGCTGTGAATCAAACCTGACAAAGGTCAAAGGTGGAATCCTGACGATTTCATGTCTGGTTCTTTTGGCGACCCTCATGTCCGTGATGTCAACAGCAAATGTTTATTTTCTCAATCACCACTTTGTACAATCATTTTGACCAAATAAACAAACAGAAACAAAAAAATTGCTCCTCTTATTAGTGCTTAATAAAAACAGTTTGATATATCAACAGTTGAACGTGTTTTATGTAAAGTTTTGCAAAAAGAGCATCTCATCGGAGTCAGAGAGAGTCAGAGTTTCTTTATTGTCATTCGCACCTCATGTGGTACATGTGGTGGAGCGAAATTATGTACACAGGGTCCCAGTTACATCCAACAATAAAATGTAAAAGGAAAAACAGTAATAACATCTAAGATATGATCTAAGAAAAACAAATTAAATGTACACTAAGCACTAATAACATAAAAACATTACGTCGAACATCAGCACAAACATGAACATGAGTCTGTGTGAGCAGATGAGCACGCATGAACACATCAACATTGAAACAGATCAGCAGCAACATGAAACAGATCAGTAGCAACATGATGTGATTTTTTTCACAGTGATTATTCTGGTTAGAGATTCAGTCTAACAGTCTCAGGGTAGAAGCTGTTCCTCAGTGTAGTGAACTAGGCCTCGGACCAAAACCTGCCTCTGAAGACCTTCATGGGACAGGAACTGTTATTTCATTGATTTTAATCCAGAAATACAAATTAGCTCATCCAGAGACTGTCTAGTTGTATCCTGAAGTAATCAATTGAAAGAACACTTCTTTTTATTATCATTACTATTTTACAATATCTTGATAATCAAAAGTGTGTTTAGTTCATACCATTTCTAAATGTTGAAGTGAACCACTCATTTTAAATCAACTGTGAAACGGTATTAATCATTTTTTAATCCTCATTTAAATTAGAAATCAAGGTAAATGTCTATTTACAACGTAATTATGCATTTTGATTTTCTGTCTAAAGGAGAAGTAGTGATGTCGGTCAAAAGTCAGAGACAGCCAGAAAGAAGTTATTAGAACGAATTGTCCTGTTTTTAAACCTAGCAGACGGTAAAAAAGAAGCAACTGGCACCAACTTCCTCTCACTTCTTCAAAACATTTCTCTGTCTGTACTAAACGTTCCTAAACATTCCTGCTGTCTTTTTGACTTTTAATAACCCTCTGACATCACTGAAACACACCCCCTGTTGGTTGTTTCAACCAATCAGGAAGTCCTAAGTGACCAGAAGTGAGAACGCTTTTAAAAGTCGACACTTCCTGGAACTACTGGGTCTTCTGGAGTCTAGTCCGTTCTTCTGAAGTCTTGGATCTGAGTTGAACTCAGTCTTTGATGGCGTCTTCTCAAGCCTTGTGGAGTCTTCCACTCCTGACTGGGATCTCTGACGGACTCACAGATGCTTGCTGTGAATCCACCCGGGTGTAAAGCCTCCAACTTCGAAGGGAGCTGAGCCTGTTTGTTGAACGGAGTAAATCGACACGACTTCTGACGATGACCAGCCGCTCTTACCGGAGACGCTGGAAGGTAGCGTTAAAATGGACCCGACACCGGAGCTGATTTATCTCCTGCGAAGGTAACGAGTCGTGACGTGCGAAGTGTACCGGAAGTTTGAGCTGGTGATGGAAAGAAGCGTGCCAATTCTGGTCAACAACATATACCACCCTTCACCCATCCTTCCTTTCAACTCTTCTATTTTGCTAGTAATTTAGATGCCTTCAGAAATGTCTTGTTGTCTTATTAGTAAAGCGTGCCGTTTTATTAATCATAACCAGATCAGCTAATCACGTGTACATGTTTTGATGCTAAATTTTGATTCTGTTAAATAAATGACCACATTTATTCTGATGGGTCAAAAGAAATTGAACGTCTCTTGTCACTGACTAAAGAATCCTCACAGTTACCTTGTCACGTGGCATTAATTTAACTCGAAAAAGAGAGAACCCGTTATATTTAAATAATTAGTAGTGAAGGTACAATTAAGCTGTCCCCCACCATTTCACTACATTTGGTGGGACCGTACGCGTTTTAAATAACACATTTGGTGGGACAGTATGTCCACAGCAAAGTTGTCCTTGACACACTACATATTTGGTGGCCCGAACAGGTTTCTAAAGAGATAAATTCACCCATCTCCTCTTTAAACCCCCACCTTTTACATTTTGGTGGCCGAACAGTTTCTAAAGAGTGTTGTGGCTAGAGGCCACTAATGGTGTTCAAACAACTGATACAGTCCACCTTAGTTCAAAAGGTTTATTGGACAACAGATTACAAGTATTCAGAGTTCATAAACTCAACAAATCTGTATGCATACAGGAGCATTTACCAAAACCGACCTGATCTAACGCTTCTCCAGCAAATGCTACTCGTATTTTTCTGGTGGCTGTGTTTTATACACTTCGGGCTCTCTGATTGGTTTAACCGAAAGGTTGCCATGGTTACTCTGCTCTGGCCGGGGACTTGGCACATTCTTTAGATAAGATAAGCCACTTTTATGACCTGCGTGAAAATCGGCTCTTTGTTTTAGCCGTTTCAGTGTAACCTACTTATATCTTAGTGATACCAAATGATTCTGTTCTAAAGTTAGTTTCTTTCTAGGAATAATTAATAACTATTAATTATTAACTAACTCATCTCTGTGTGGTTTGAACTGTCCCCCTCATCAACTGATGATTTTATGTGACTTACTAATTGTTATTATGATACTAATTTTATTTAGTCCAACTGTCTTAGTCTAAGTTAGAGAGAGAGAGATGTGGTCTAATTTATTTTATGTTAATCAGTCTCTCAGTTCTGGCTAAGTCTCCTTAGTGAGAAGGCAGCCCTTCCTCTTGTGTAATTAAAAAGTATCTTACCTGACATTGGGCCCGTTGTGATTCGCTTGTAATTATATCAAAATGTAAATTTCTAACTGACAGGCTCTGTCCCTGTCTGTTTTCTTTGTATTTGTGTTTTCCACTTGCTCCTCAGTCTGCCTCTCCACTCCTCAGTCTTTATCATTCACACCTGTCCCTCATCAGCCACCTGCCCAGGTTCTCTCATTGCTCACTCTCCCTCTGTCTTATAAAAAGCCTTTCTCTCCTCCACTTCTGGTCCGGTCATTGTTCTGTTTTTACAGACAACATGGTCCTCCTCTATTCCTTGTGCCAGGTATCAGTCTGATTTTTGAATCTGTCCTGTTCTTGTCTGCCTGGATCCTGCCTGTAGTTTTGCTGCCCCGTCAGCCATTTTGTTTTTGTGGTTTAAAATAAATTATTTTTATTATAAACTCCTGCCCCGCTCGCCTGCCTGCAAATGGGTCTAAACAACACGGAGGATCGTAACACTAACATTGTGAACTTATGTGATTTTCCTAGCTAATGTGAGATTATATATCTATAAGCAAACTAATTGCTTAACATTCTGATTAACATTTAAATGATTGTAAGTTAGGGAAAGAATGACACATAAACACATTTTAATACATGAAATTTCAAGCTTGATTAAAATAATACTAAAAGATAAAACATGAAATCCAACAATCCCTCTCTTGGTCTATCAAAAAATGATAGACCAACTAAACTTCAAAGGCTACAGGTATTTTGTCTCAGCCAACTGCAGGTGGTCCTGTCCTGACTGCGAGGAGTCCTCACTGGCCCGGATCACAGGACACACCGTACCTGTGCCCACCACTCCATCAAAGTTAACCATCCGCGCGACTGCTGCTTTAGCGCACGGTGCAATGCAACCCAACAAAATACAAAAAAGAACAATAATAGCCAAAGGAGGTACCAACAGTTTGATCAGCAGCTGACTCCAAGTCCCACTCATGTACCATGACCAAAACCCTGAGGATCCTGCAGGCAGATCTTTAGCCTTCGCCTCCTGCAGGCCTCTCAGCTGGGCCAATGCCTTAGTCACCCTGCCCTGGGGGTCCTGACTACTCTCATCAGGGATGTAAGCACAACATGCATCTTTTCCAATAATCTCACACACTCCACCTCTAGATGCCGTTAACAAATCCAACACCATTCTTTTCTGTAACACCATCACTCTCAAGGCTGACAACTCCGCTGATATGCCCTCCAGCGCCTTAATTGTTGAATTAATGAAAATCCCAAAACGGTAATCTAAGGTTTCCACCCGTAACAGTAGCTTACCAACCCCAGCCCACGGGAAAAGTGAAAGCATGACCTTTTCTCCTACTGTCCAGTGTTTAAATTTGTCTGGTACGTCTGAACCCCAAATGGAGTCGTGCGGCCTGATGCCCACAGCCCTTCTTTGCCTGACATAATGGGAACCATTACTTACAGACACAAGAAATTATTCGTCTGTGACCGCCACAGGTGCGCAGATACCTGTCCAGTTACTGGGAAGAATCAACAGTACCGTATGTCCACACAACCAAGCCAGATCCTCAATGGGAAATGTTCCATTCTTCCCAGGTACCACAATGTGATGATTACCAGGGTGATATATTGCCTGACACTTCTCAGGGGGCAACATGCCCACCGCCACCTGATAGGAGTCCTGCCAGTGCTGTCGGTGTACACAAATTGGAAACTGCTCACTCGAGGGCCACTCTACATACTGACTCAACACCACCACCTGCGCTTCCTGTGTCAACTCATACCGCTTGGCCTTACACCAGTGTGGTCCCCGACTATATCTCCTGGAGCTGTATTGCAGAAGACAAAATGATTGCCCCCGATCCAGGGGTTTAACACGCAATGGCAAATGTGAAGCTGTGACCGGAAGTTTGGTGCATACATAACATTCAGAATCATGACGCCCCCTGGCTAAAAACTGAGCATAATGGTACCAACTGTTCATCTGAAAAGCATGGGACAAATTCAACGGTAACTGATCAAATTCATGAACTGGGGACCACGGCCCCCTCCTAGGGATCTCTCTCTTGATCTTCACCGGTGTGGTGCGACATCTCCTGAGTCCTGGAATGACACAGGTTAGTTCCAGCACCAACACAAGACATACCATCAACACCCCAATTATCCCTCCAGCAGTCAACAGCTTATTTGATATGAGAACCATGATTGCTATGTCCCCACACTGAAAATGAAAACTGATTATGATGTATAAACCTGAGATTCAACAGTACATGCAGCCAAATGTCAACTCACCA